AATAATAATAACATTTCCAAATACGAATATATATATAATAATATACAAAAAATGATGATAGAAAAATAGTTAAATCAATTTTATGATGGAATATAATAAATATTTAAATTTCAATTAAACATTTATACATGAGATTAATCGAATGATCTTCATCGATTTTTATTACTTTCTATTTGTATTAGACAGATTTCTTTTATTATTTTTTTTTCTTGTCAATATATATATATATATATATAATTATTAACATTCTTACAAGAGGAGAAAAAAAAAAATGAAAATAGTAGATGGAGAAAAAAAAACCGTGTTGTTAAATTGTTTCCTGTCACCTATAGTGTAAATCAATATATGCAGAAAATTCTTCAATTTACCGTTTACTTGACAAACGTTTTACGTACTTTCTCCGATCACTATTCTCATTCTATTATTTCATTCAAGCAGCAATATTAAATAAAAGAACAATACCGAAATCGTTATTAAAATCACGATGAATATTAAATTCATTTTATATAGTCTCAAAATGTCTATAAAATAGAATAAACTATTAATTTGACACTTTTCACTAACAAGTACATACAAATTTTTCATTATTTTGGACGACACATATACATGTAAACATCTGTTGATTACAATTATTGAAGTCGTTGTACTTTTTAATGCTTTGAACTAGAAAAATTTTTCAAAAAAAAAATATTTAATGATTAATTTCGATATTTTACTATCAAAGCTTTGAAGGAGAATAATAGTGAAATAATTTCACTTTTTTTTTAATTATTTTGAAAAGAGTTCAGATTCTTAGCTTGTTGCTGCAGAGATATTGCATTTGTGCGGTATTTTTAAACTTAATAATATGACTCCTCTCAGAAACATCAGGAAAACTGATATTCGAATTTCGATTCAAAACTTTGCGCAAACATAGATCTTAATGAAAATGAGTCATTTTGAAGTTTTCAGATCAGAGATGTTGACGAACTGATCGACTTTGATTCTACCTGCCCGACTTGTGACCCGTGGGTATGTTGAATCTCACAGGCCGGATTATATATACGTTCACTATTCGTGTCATTTCTTCGTTCTTTCAAGGATTTAGTTGCTTGTACTGTTTCTTTCGTTCTTCATCGTTTAGATTCTTTCTATCATTTATTCTCACTACATTTTAGTTCTAGTCTTTCAACTACTTGTTTTTTGAAGTATATATGCATAACTGTGCTTTAGATAGAAATGTAAGTTTTCTTTTAGACACATCGAATCAAAAACTTATATTCGTACAAAACCAAGTTCGTTCAATGTAAAAAATAAGAATGAAAGTTGTGTAATCTAGTTACTTTTCGGTTGTTTTGCGCACTTATCATCATTTTTATCCTAGTCGAAGCTGTATTTACTACAGGGGTCGCAGCGGTATATATACAAAAATCAGGAAAGTAGACAGGAAAATTTTTAATAAAAATCAGGAAAAGTGAAATTCATTTTGATAGTGTTTTTCAGAATCAAATTTGCATAAACGTGTAGGGAGCTACTACGATTAACCCTTCCAATGTCATAGCTAAACTAATAGATGCAATTCCGTTGAGATTTTATATATAAGATGCGTATTATACATTGTTGCTATTTTCATCAAAATTTTTTTTGTAAAATTTTTAAAACCATTCTCGATCCATGCTCGCTAATGACGATGAAATACTTTGCTCATTTCTATAGAGAAGTACAGGTATGGGATAAAATTCGATTGAGACTCATCTACAAATCAAAACTTGGAATATCACTAGGAGTTACTCCTAACTTGATTTTAGCAATAAAAATCAAACCGTTTCGCGAGCCACAAAAGGGCATTGTCTGCCTTCCTTTTTAGAATAGAAACGATTCTGCAAAGTATCATCAGGCTTACTACCTTAGTGGTCTTATCAGAGTCATAACTCTTTTATAGATATGTACACTGAAACCTCCTCTATGTAATAGGAAAATATTTTCTTCATATCTTTTTTGCATTGGCGAGTTATTCAAGGATTAAAAAACTTGAAAAATCACACTATGTTTAGCATGGTGGGTCTGAGAGGGTTAGTTAACATATTTTTTTAGTCGGATACATTTGCGAATACAATATCCGCTTTATAGGTAGATAAAATGAATTGAGAAGTTTGTTTATTTTAAAGTTCATCAATAAGAAAACGAATTTAGCAGAAAATAAGATTTCGTTTGTCATCCATTTTTTAATGCTTTCTGAACTGATATATATTTACATATAACGTTTGTCTTTTTATTATGTTCAATACAAACTTCGATGTAGTTCGTACAAATATTTCCATCTAATATTATATTTAATGCATACTGTACCTTTTCCTTTCGTCAGCCGATGATGTAATTTCTTTTTCTTTCCTTATTACAATTATCATTTAACTATTCTAACCAAATTTCTTCTATGAATTTAACTTTTTCAAGCTGGAAATTTACTTTGAACAAGATAATCAGTCTTGTAGAAAATTTTGATTCAAAGATAAAGATTTGATGTTGACATATCGATCAATAAAAGCGTTCAAAATCAACTATTAGAATCAGTTCTGTTCTATTAAAGGGACACTACGGATTTTCATATTTTTTTCTGTTTAGTATGTTTACATATGAAAACAATATTTTTTTTTGTCTACGGACTTAATATTCTTGTAAAGCAAAATATTCTATTTTTTTTTCTTTAAAAGTCATGTTTCAAGAAACTTTTCAAGGTTCTCGAAAATACAGAAGAAAAAAAATCCATTCATTATATGCTATCCATTATACGTGTGTATACATAGTTTTTAATTAAATGTTCATTCGTGGTGTTTTAAAATCTATATTGTCTTCCCTTCGTGAGTGTTCGGAAATGAAACACTATTTTCAAGAAATGTAATAGCGCAACGCATACGAAAAAATATCGGGAAAGAATTTCTACTTGTTGTGAGATGCGACCGTCGAGCGAAAAGATTTTATGGCAATGGTTGACTTCACCGACGTTTCGTGACCATGATCGACCTTTGCACTGCACTCACCTAGTTTTTCAGGCACGATACACATCTCTGATTGCTAATGCTGCGCTAACTATATAACGAAATTTCAATTGTTTGAAAATATTGAAAACCTACACTGATTATAAAAAAAAACAAAAAAAGAGTGGCTGAACTAATTATTATTTGAATATCATCTTTATTTTTGTTTTAAGTTAGTCTAAAGATATTTTTAGATAAAGTTTGAAAAATAAGTTGATGATAATAAAAGAATGAATTGTAATCGTTTAGTTATAGTCCTATAGGAATAAATCATTAAAAAAAAACTCAGGAAATTAATACGGCTGCGAGACCTGCTACTATATTAACATTGTAGATATGAATATATGCTATTATTTTTACTTTACTATTTATTATCGTAAAGTTGAGTTCAAATTTTGTTATGTTTATGTATACGCTCAAAAATAAAAGATTATATTCTAATAGTAAAAATCTTAGTGTTACAAATAATTAAAAAACAAATACGTGAATAAAAAGCTAATGAGTGTGTAACTAAATATTTTACTAATAAAATTTGTATGATCTCGCGGATTAATCTATGACGAGTTAATAACTTTTCAACTCAGAAAGTAGTCCGTGGATCGAAGGAAGAAAAAGCTAAATCCATGAAGTGGGTCGGGTTCGATCTCGAATGGATCAGATCAAAATAAAAAAAACAGCCATTAACATCTGTGTTTCAAATCATTTCGTTGTCCCTATCCTAAGATAAACCTCTGATAAAAACTTATATTTCACACTGCTTATATACAACGGCATATTTTATCTTCTTATCTCAGGAAAGAAACAAATCAAAAGACCTGAACTACTCACAATAACCTGCTATCGTTAAGATCGATCCCTATGCAAAGTTTCAAGTGGAAATTTGAAAATGACTTTTCTTATGTTCCTGAGAGTGACGACATAGACTTAAAAAATACCGTAAAAATGCAACATCCCAGCAGCAATAAGTTAAGAATCCGAACGCTTTTCAGAATTTTCTTAACGAAAAGTAATTGATATACAGAGAGGAAATAATCTCTAACTAAGTGCATCTCTATGAAATTTGAGTATTCGTATCGACGGTTTGATATATGAATATGATGTTCAATTTATCAAAAGTGGCTAACTTATTTGAGACTTATCATGCAACGAAATGCAAAATACAACTACAGAACGAAAACCTTTCATATCTTTCCTTCATTTTAGATTGTTAATTCTGTTTATAGTTTGACTCATCATTTAGGATGTAGTTGATGAATAAATACCTTTCAAAACTATATCGAAGACATTAAAAGAAAAAATACGAGAAAGACAATTTTTGACGTTTCGTACAATTAAAAAATAGATTGAACAAAAAATCATCTTGGGATGATTGTGAAAGAATGATTGATAAAATTTCTAACAGACTTAGCGAAATGATAATAATAACTAATAGATAACGAATACATAATATTCTTACAAAGGAAAAGATATCATTTAATATTATGTTATTTGAAATCTCGATACAAATACTCAAATCTCTTATAGATCTATTCAGTCAGAGATTATTTCCTGTCTTCATATAAATTAATTTTCCTCAAAGTTCAGAACTTATAAAACACACTAAAACCATTTGAGAGACTTCGCTTGTAAGATACAAAAATGGAGAATCGACCCTTAGATTAGAGTTGCATTTCCAGGAAAAAGTAACCTGTAGGTAAAAATTGGAAAAAATATGATAGTTTTCTGCTTGCTCTAGGAAAAGAAGGTTCGATAGATTCTATTTCTCTGCTAAGATGATAGTTTCAATTTAAATCCATTGAATTCTGTTTAGTTACTTCTACAATCAATAATCTAAAACTTCCGAATTGAATTGAAATTATTTATTGGAACAAAAAATAAAACACGAAACTATTTGACAAACAGAAAGCTGGAACAATATAAATCGAATAGCCATTGTTTGTTTTTTAAAATAAATTTTAATCAATTATAATATATGATGTTTTATATTTATCGTTGATATTTTCTAAAACGTAATAAATATCTTAGAAGTTCATGACGAAATTTCTTTCCACAAAATGAATAAAGAAAAAAATTTATTGAATATGATAAATATGATATATGTTGTGCTATAATAACGATAATATAAAATATATGAAAAAAATTTAAATTAATTATTGATTGATTTTCTGTACTAATTGTTGCTATTGTATAAGCAAAATTTGGATTTTCCATTATTGTTGAAATAGTTACATTAGAATTATTTATTTGATTTAGATAATTTCGAACAGAATTATTAATTAATTGAGATTTTTTTATTGTATAAATTTTTAAAGTAATTGAACAGATGTGTGAAGGAGCATTAAGTAATAGAAAACAAGTTGAAACTAAAATAAGCATACGTGTTACATGATGTGATTGAGCCTGAGAACGTGTTGTTGAACGTATTGAAGCTGTACGATGAGGTGTACCAGCAACAGTTAGAAAATGATCTTTAATTTCTTCATTGACTGATAATCGATGTTTTGAATTCTAAATTAGAAAGATAATATATTATAGAATTCAATTATCTTGCTTAATATGCGATTTAATAACATTCATTTTGACTTCGAACTGTCAATGCGAAAGATTCTTTGCATGAAAATATAAATCCTGAATTACAAAACTCGTACTAAATATGAACCAGAATCAATGTTAATTGAGAATCAAGACATGGCGAAGCAATCTCTTCCGGATATCAAGTTAACCTTTTCAGCAATTCTATACATTATGTCAAGAACACATTTGGTACATCCGACAGATTCTGTTAAAAGTCTTTAGGAATTTCAAATTGTTCCTTCGACTGAGAATATTTGAATAAAATACTTACAGTATTATTCTCTTTTTTGCTTTGGGCTAACATTAATATAAAGTTTATTAGCAGAGAACTCAAAATAACTAACGTTCATTATCAAAATTTCAATATTCCTTCTTGCTATATTACACTACATTTTATTTCGAATATCCTTCTTTTAGTAGACACATAGGAATAGGTTTTTTTGACTTTTAGGTTCAATCTTACTGACACTTATCTAGAGAATCTTATCGTCAGTTTTGCTGTGCAATAAATTCAACATATGATAAATACTTTATACTTATCGAATTATTATTGAAAATATAAGAGTGGATAAACTATCAGAGTTTTCAAGAATTTAATCTCAGTGTATATATTTTGTAAAAAAATAAATGCTAAATTGAATATTTTCTAATGAATAAATTTTCAACTGTTTTGTTATACATGAAAAATTATTTTCTTTTCCTTTCTTGTGAAAATTATCTGATGAATTCGATTATACTTTATTAAAAATTTTATTATAAATCCTGCAACAATATCCTAGACTATATCATTCAGCCATTTGTGTTCTATTAAATCTGAGCCATTTATGCATAATGTTATCATAAATTGATGCTACATGAAAAGTTCATTTTTTTTTCTGGATCAATGCATATTCTAGAATATTGTATTTTGGTATTCGATAAAAGCAAACTATTAATAGAACTAATTATGTGACATAATGAAAATCTTTTATTTTTATAAAGAAAAACGATGTAAAATAATTGCTTTCTCTTTTTTTAAGGGTAATAAATAATGACATATGTAGTAAATGCTACAGCAAAGAATACACATCTTAATTTACAGTCTATTCTAAGACCTATAATGTATGAGAATTAATTTTATATTAAATATCTAAACGAATATTAATCTAATCTACCCAATAATAATTGAAGTATTTTGAAAATATCAATAGTTTTTTTTTTTTTATAATACCTTAGTATTTAGTACTGTTGTAATTTCAGATAATTTTGTTTGTGAAATTGAATCGAATGAACCTGTACTTTTTCTTACTGAATTTAATGTTAAAATATTTCTATTTGATCGTTTTTTATATGATAATTGTTTATTATTTCGAGAAGTTTTTCTTAAATGAAATATAATTAATAAATTTAATACAGCAATTATTGTAAATGGTATAACAAATGATGATAATGCATCGGATATAAACCAATTTAAATTTAATTCTTCTTGACAATTTTCATAATGATTATTTTTAATAAGCATTAAACAATAAGAAATACCAAGTAAAATAAATAATGTTAAAATAATATAATGTAAAAATTGAATTCTTCTTTCAATAAATGCACTTAAAGGAAATTTAACAGCAATAAAACGTTGAATTGTAAAATGAACTGTAAAACAAGCTGATAATAATTCAGCTAAATGAGAAAAAAATGATAATAAACGACAAAATAAATCGGAATCTAATTCGATTAAATCATTTAAACAACGAGAAACAAGTGCTAAATTAAATAATAGATCAGTAGTTGCTAAAATCAAAAAATAAAAAATAATAAAATAAATATATTTGTTTTTTTTTTTTTATGTATATTTATTTACCAAGTGCGATTAATGTACAATTGTTAAAATTTTTTGTAAGAGATCGTTTAGATAACATAACTATTGTAATAACATTTCCAGCAATGCCAATCAAAGAAACAATAATAATATATGGTATCGATATTTGCATAAGAATAACCTGAATATTTTCTATTGTGTTATTTGATTCAAGTCGATTATTGGACATTTCTTTTTTTTCGTTTTTGGTTGTATTTAATAATATTCAAATGAAATATATCTTAAGCATTTAATCTAAATATAGATAAGAGAAGGTTTAGAATAATTAAAGTTATGAAATCAGTTAATTTGAGAAAAATAAATTGATCGAAGAAAAATCTGATGTTTTACGCACATTGTGTTCGGAAGAAGGTGAACATGAATGATTGCTGCAGTTTATTCTCATTTATGAATGAACAAGTTAAATACTTACTGTGCACGTGTTCTATAGTTTTCTCTGTTGGTTTATTAAAATAAATATGATTTATGACATATATAATATGAGATTTTAAATAAAGTAAAAAGGAATTTTTCTTGTTTCTAAACAATCAACAATAAACTAAAATTCAACTGAAATAAAAAATAAGAAGATTTCATAGTCATAATTAATATATGTCTATTAAAATGATATGCAAGACATGATGAATTGATACATTCTAGATATTTCCTTCATTAGATCCTTTTTGTTTTATTGTCATATTAAACGTAGTGAAAATAATAAGACAAGAAAGAAGGAAACAAAAGAATAATTCAAAGTTTTATTTGCGTACTCTTCCTACGTCAAGAAAAATGTGTGGGAATGCATTTTTTATTAGGCTAGCAAAATGATTGCTTATATGTTTAAAGTCATGCATCGAACTTTTCTACTTCATTTTAATCATAATTATTATCTGTACACTGTCACACATTGTAAGCTTATGCATAGATTATCGACGACAGTTGACATTAATGTTAGATTATTTTGTGTTTTGTCGGCGAGATGAGGAAAAGAAATGAAATTTTAAAGAACTTTAAACAAAAAAAAAAGGATCTTTCCTAAATTGAAAAAGTTTTTTTCTGAAAAAAAAAACGGAAGATAATAATGGAGAATATACTAATAAGAAATAATAACAATGATACTAAACCTTCGAAAGGTGAACTTATGGTTTAAAGTTCTTATTACAACTTAATTATCTGTTTTTTTTTTTGCCATGATTATGTCGTAGCCAGCTTGCTAATGTCTCAAACCATAGTATAAGAAAAAAAAAAGAATGTCCTTATTACTAAAAGAGAGAAAAAAAAAACAAAGAATGTGTTAATAAGAAAATAGAGAGAATATAAATTATCTGTGCATGAACGTTATAAAATAATATTTGATATGACAAAAAAAAGGTCTCATATTTCTTCAGTTATACTATATGTTTGTTCCTGAATGACTTTTTCTATTAAATAAAAGGAAACAAAAAAATAAATAAATAAGAAATTTCTTTCTATGATCTAACTAAAACTCATATTAATAAGCATTCATGAATATGCCTTTTATATTCTTTTACCCTTCTCTTTAAAAATTTTCATTTTCAAAAAAAAATAAATTCTTACGTCAACAAAAACCTTTCAAGTCTACTTTAAAATATAGTAATATCAACATTAGATTAGTATATGCATGAGGAAATTTAACGGAAAAATAAAGAAACACCTGTCAAAAGATTTTTTTCTCTTTTGAAGCTTTTTCTTATTTTAAAGTAGAGTACTTTTTAAAATTATTAGAACGTTGCGTTAAAAATAGCATATGTTAATGCTTGACATTCTTTTCACATTTATTCATGTAGAAATTAAAGATAGTTCTATTAAAGTTTTCTTAACCTTCGGATGGTTTTTGTGAGTCCAGCTAGAGCCACATAATATCATTTTTTCGTTCCCTTCTACGTTAATATGTATCCTTTTCTAAGCGATTTCTTTTCTAATTCTCAGAGCTAAGCTTAGAAAAGAGATCGCTCGGAAAAGGATGCGTTATAGCGTAGCAGGAAATAAAAAATGGTATTATGTAGGTCCAACTGGACCCGAAAAAGTCATCCGAGGGTTATGATTATTCTATTTCTTCATTCAATTATCATAGATTTATATAATCTGTTAGCAATAGGTTTTTAATGTAAGAAAATGAGCATTTTATTTTATTTTTTTTATTAATCATTATACTCTTTCATTTTTGAATTTAAATAAATTCATTTCTTCTAGTCTTTTTTTTTTCGGCTATCTTCTTAAGTAAGAAAGTAACACTTCTATATAGATCAGACTAGTCCTACCGTTAAATATATTTCTTAGCTAATTTGCATTATCCATAGCCTAGTATTAGTAAATACTTTATCTTAAGTATGTCTATAGCAATTAACATGTTTACAATATGTGTTTTGGCAATGGAATGTCAAATGAAGCTTATTATTATTATTGTTATTCTTGTTTCTTTAAGCATAAAATAAACAAACGTAATACTTGTTTGAATTCTTTCATATTTTTCATTAGGAATATTTATAGAATAAATAGTTTTCAAGTGTTAAAGTTATTTTTAGTGAGATTTAATGTTGAAAAAGTAGCAGAAAAGATATGTGCTCTTCGTTCACATTTAAAAAAAAATGGTGTTTAGAGTTAATTGAATATTTTCCATAGATTTTTTTCGTCCATAAAGTGTTTTCTAATGACAATTTTATTTTTCTTGATATTATGTGGATAGATTATAATCAAATAATCAGATTTTTCAGATTAAAATAAAATTTTAGAAATATGAGACGCATTCCAATTCTATTTAATTGTCCATATTTTTTAAAATCAATATGATATATCATGAAAATCAAATGAAATAATTTTCGATATTGTAAAATACTGATAAAGTTATCAGTTTTTTAAAATAATAACGAATTTAAAAAAACAATACAAACAGAGATTTGTTTTAAATTAAGATAAATTCATCTGTCTTGTATGAATAGTCGTATTTCTAAAAATTAACTTTCATCACTCTTAAAAATAATTAGATCAAATAAATTGATCGAAAAAATTCAAAAAATGATTTTTTAATATTTGCTTTGAATCTGTCAATGTCCAACTTTAAATATCAATCAAACGGATATGCATATATATTTATTCCTACAGCGAATAGACGATTTTTAGATTTTTAATTCATGATTATTTTCTTCTATGTAAAGTCGGTGCATTTGGTTCCATGTGAAATAGATAAGATCAAAAAATTTCTTGTGAATGTTCTGCTTTCGTCTGTCAAATAGGTACAGTGTTACTTCTCCTTCAATTTTAATAAGAATTTAAATGAAACCTCGCTATCATTCGATACACTATTATAATTTGTTTCCTTACTAAGTGAGCTTGTTTCATATAAATGGTCTTTATTTTTTAAATCAACAATTTATACAAGTTGGTATTCGACTTGTAATATTCTCTAGCGCGTTTTATAATTAATATGAATAACTATTGAAGCTGATTTTGTAATAATGACTAATAAAATCTTGATAGTCTTATTTTACATGAATTAATATCCTTACAATCTGTTAATAAGAAAAATATTAATAACTTAATATGACATATTTTCTTAATCGGATTTTATTCGGCATCGAAATTCATATACTTTCAATGGAAATTGTTATCGGATAATTAATTTTTTTTAATAAAGGACGGAGGCGGATAAGGCCATTTTCTGGCCCCCCAATATTTTTGCATAAAAATCATATATTTGGAATCAGCATCGAATTCTGAACAAAATGAGGTATTTTTTTTACTAAAAAAATGACTTTTATCTTTTTTGAAAAATTCTCGCCCCTATGACCCCTCAGGAACTTCGAAAATTTTTTTTTCTCAAATTTCTGTGAAGCATACATAATTTGATTCAGTTTTTCATGCCGATCACAAAGATCGCATCGAAAATTGAAAAAAATTCAATCTTGGCCGAAAAAAGTGGAATTTATTCAGAGGTGACGTTAGTTGCCTAATGAAGTTGATGTTGTTTTGGAGCGCAATGGAAAGGTTTGGTAGCGCTGAAAACTCGCTAGATATACTCAAAAACATATAAGCTTTCAGAATATTTCAATTAAAATACTCAAAATGCCAAGTTTTATTGTAAAATATCGTATTAAGGCCCAAAAACCGTGAAGAACCATATCTTTGTTGATTTGATTTTTCTCTATCGGTCTTAGTAGATGCGGTAACAATCTGAAATTTATACCAGATATTCAGTTTTGAATACTCTATCGAATGAGCCTACTTTGGTTCGAAAACAAAATATGCTTTTTTTGAAAACCGGATTTTTGAGTCGTAGGTTTTCCAGAAAACCTTTGAGATTTTTTTAAATATGCAGTTCGATAGAGCATAAAATTTGGAATCAAATGGTGTGCCGCTCGAATTTTTGCGATATTTGTGGGCTGAAATGTCAAACTTTCAAAAATCCAGATTTTTTGGTGGACTTTTTTCTTATCCAATTCTCAAATGCTGCAGTTCTTTGAAAAACGATCAGAAAAATTTGAGCGACACACCATTTGATTCCAAATTTTATGCTCTATCGAACTGCATATTTAAAAAAATCTCAAAGGTTTTCTGGAAAACCTACGACTCAAAAATCCGGTTTTCAAAAAAAGCATATTTTGTTTTCGAACCAAAGTAGGCTCATTCGATAGAGTATTCAAAACTGAATATCTGGTATAAATTTCAGATTGTTACCGCATCTACTAAGACCGATAGAGAAAAATCAAATCAACAAAGATATGGTTTTTCACGGTTTTTGGGCCTTAATACGATATTTTACAATAAAACTTGGCATTTTGAGTATTTTAATTGAAATATTCTGAAAGCTTATATGTTTTTGAGTATATCTAGCGAGTTTTCAGCGCTACCAAACCTTTCCATTGCGCTCCAAAACAACATCAACTTCATTAGGCAACTAACGTCACCTCTGAATAAATTCCACTTTTTTCGGCCAAGATTGAATTTTTTTCAATTTTCGATGCGATCTTTGTGATCGGCATGAAAAACTGAATCAAATTATGTATGCTTCACAGAAATTTGAGAAAAAAAAATTTTCGAAGTTCCTGAGGGGTCGGTCATAGGGGCGAGAATTTTTCAAAAAAAATAAAAGTCATTTTTTTAGTAAAAAAAATACCTCATTTTGTTCAGAATTCGATGCTGATTCCAAATATATGATTTTTATGCAAAAAT